AGGTATGATATGTATGGACAGCTTATCTCCATTAATGTGATGCACTGAGAAGAACATACCGATCACTGACTTGGATTTCTTGCCATAAACACATAGTCTCACTGCAAAATCACAAGAAAACATCACACAAATCTAAACTGAGAGACATTCTGCAAAATAGCTGACCCACACTTAAGAGTGTCAGGGTCATTAGGAAAGAATGAAGAACTATCAGAGTGGAAGAGACTAAGCAGATACAACAATTAAATGCAAGGATTAATCTTGGATTGGATCCTGGAACACAAATAAGACATTAGGGAGAAAACTGATGAGATTCAACTAATGTCTACAGTGTAGTTAAGAGTACCAGACCTATTTCAATTTCCTGATTTCAGTAATTGCACTATTGCTATATAAGTTCTTAACATTAGGAGAAACTGGGTGAAGCATATACATGAAATCTCTTTTTCCCCAACTTATCTGTAAATCATTATTTTACAATATGATATATGTACATTGTACAGGGTATATGCTTTGTTCCCTATGAGCAATATTTCAAACAGGAGTGTGTCCACATCTTTGAGTCTTTGTTTTCTTTTTGTCTCTCTCTTACCTTCCTTCCTTCAAGGAACTTGAGGGCTGTGCCGATGTTAGCCACAGCATGGATTCGCTTCATACGGCGTCCTTGTTCACAAGGCTGTAAATGGGACAGAAAAGAAGCATGTCAAAATGCACCTGTTACACAGACACTTACAAAATCTATTTAAATGAATTCCAAGTGCACTTGAAGAATATTCAAGAAGAATACCCAGCATTATTCAATTTCTATGAAGATTAGCAAATATATAGAAGAAAGAGCATTATGTAGATGTACTAATTTACTCAATAACAATGTTTGTTCTCAGCTTATTGTTAATGTATTTGTCTTTTAGGCTTCTATCTGCTTAAGAGCAGAGATTCTCAAAACTTATTTGCTGGATACTGACACTGTCATACCTATACACTAGGAAATTCTTATATGAAGACTACTCTTGGTCACACATCATTTTTGTTTTCTTTTCAGCCATACCAACATGCAAGGATAGAGGCAGTTTTAGTAATATTTCTAGATTTGA